TGCAAATGCTGTCAAATGCTCTTTAATTACAATGTTTCTGCGAGCAAGTAAAAATCTTAAACATTTAACACTTATTAATGCTATTAATAAAACAATATTAGCGAATGCACTTTGCAAGAATACCGCGCTGTCTTCTTTGAATATTCAATATTATAATCTTAGACCAGAAGAGAGAAATGAATTAACAGATGCACTTTGAAAAACATCAAACTGACTTCTTTGAGCCTTTATCGCAATAATCTTGGTTTAGAAGGAGGAAAAGCATTAGCTCATGCACTTTGCAAGAACACTACGCTGATTTCTTTAAGTATTAATTACAATAAACTTGGACCAAAAGGAGGAAAAGCATTAGCAAATGCACTTTGCATGAATACCATGCTGACTTCTTTGGATCTTAGCAGTAATGATCTTGGATCAGATGTTGGGAAAGAATTAGCAGATACACTTTGCAAGAATACTAGACTGACTTCTTTAGATCTTTGCTGCAATGATCTTGGACCAGGAGGAGGAAAAGCATTAGCAGATGCACTTTGCAAGAATACTACGTAACTTGGATCTGAAGGAGGAAAAGTATTAGCAAATGCACTTTATAAGAATATTACGTTGACAACTTTGAATATTAGTAATAATAAACTTGGATCAGATGTCGGAAAAGCATTAGCAGATACACTTCGTATAAACACTACACTAACTTCTCTGTATCTTCAAGATAATAATTTTGGATCAGAAGGAGGAAGGGCACTAGCAGAAGCACTTTGCATGAACACAACATTAACTTTTTTGAATCTTGCTTCAAATAATCTTAGATCGGAAGGAGGAAAAGCATTAGCAAATGCACTTTGTGAGAACATCACGCTGACTTCTTTGAGTCTTTATCATAATAATATTGGCATAGAAGGGGGAAAAGCATTAGCAGATGCACTTTGCAAGAACACTACGCTGATTTATTTGAATCTTAACGACAATAATCTTGGTTCTGGGATAATGCAGATTGTAATGATTTTGTAAAAGAGGTAGAAAATACGAAAGAAAAAACAGTTAAAGCAAGTGATGAAAAGGAGAGTAGTAAAAATGAGAAGAAAGAGGATATGAGTGGATTGTATAGTATCGGACATAGTAAGGAAAAGAAGGAAATTAAAAGGGACGAAAATAAGATACTCACCTGCTACCAAAACACCAGTAATATTGACAAGGACGAAAAGCAGATGCTTGAGCAGAATTTGGAGTATGTCGAAGGTGGAGAATCAGTTATAGAACCTAAAGTAGAAGATGAAAATAGATTAGTATTTGACCGCGGAAAATTAATTAAAAGTGAAGCTCCAATATCCGATATACATTGTGGTGAAAGTGACGCTGAAAGTATACTTGTGGAATCTGATAGTAAAAAGTGCATGGCCAGATTTGATGAAGCCACAGTATTGGAGTGGGATACGAAAGTTGCTGATGATGTTGAGTCTTGTGGACAAACCGATGTTGAGTATAGTTACCAAAAGGTAGTAATAGTTCAAATGCAAATAATGAAGAAAGGAAAACGTACGATGATTTAATTAAGAAAGGAGATAGAAACCTAAGAGATAAAATAGGAATTAGGGTTGCAGATGTGGTGTTTAATAAAGATGAATCTGTTAATCTAGGTGAGAAAGATGTAGAGCTGGTTGGAAGTATAGCTTCAAAAGACATAGCTATAATCTACTGTGATGATGAAAGTATTTCAATTGATTCGGGTAATAACTATAATATGAGCATCGCTAAGGTTGGCAGTAATAGACCTGAAGAGCGCAAATATCATTGCAAGTATAAAATCCATGTAAAGGATTATTGCGGAACTAGAGATAGCAATGTGGATAAGAATAATGTCCTTGGTCGATTGTTGATAAAACGAATAGGCGATAGTTGTAATATATTGATGAGATATGTATTTGATCGAGGGAAAAACGTACAAATAAACTGGAATGAGATGAAAGAATATTGGAAACGCTTCCATGACCGATGCAAGGTTGGCCACAAAGAGAAAGTTAACGTGAACGATCTGGTTTTAGTGTACGATTCGACCTTGGATACTGCCCTGTCCCAGAAACTTGATTATCATTGGATAGGTTCTTACAAGGTTCGCAGAATAGGAAACCATGGTTAATTTTATCTTGCGAAATTGGATGGTACGGATCTAGAGGTTTCTATTACAAGAAACAGAGTCAAAAGGTTAAGAAAGCTAGACGATAAACTTGTGAAAAATGATGAGTTAGGTAGTGATGTCGAGGATGATGATCACAGAGGATCTAGCTCGTATCATGGTGAGAACCAGTACTCAGTGTACTAGGTACGTAGGGTCGACTTGGAACTCTAAAATAATAGACAATTGGTCGCATTAGTAAGAATCAAAAAAAAAAAAAAAAAAAAATTTATTAGTATCTTTGTGATAGATCAGAATGAAAACTTTAATTAGTGTTTTAGTAACTTTTATTAATCCTAAGTGGTTTATTAAACATTACTA